AAAATACATTCTGGCCCCATTTCAAGCAGATAAAGGGCAGGGGACTTCTCAAATCATGTCTGAAAGATAATTTCTACTGTGATGTGTATTCTGTCCCAGAAAATGCCATTTTTTAACACGGCATGAGAAAAAATCCTTTTCTAGTTCTGCATTTTAAGCATAAATTGAATATGTCAGGAATCATCTTCTGCAAGCCAACAGATGTGGAGTATATCCTATTCATGAATTTAAAGTTAAGCTGGTGTACAACTTTTAGTAAACTGTCATTAATCAGAGAGATCAACCATCTTCAAGACACTTCAAGGTTGGTAACTTCCTTCTGAATCTCTCATCCTTAATGGTTGAGGTTGTAGATGTTGAACCTGAAGATAATTGAAGAAATATGTACTGGGTAACTCCTATTCTTCTTGCAATTGCACGAATGATTTAAACAAACTATCAGAAAACATACAAGAAATTATTGGTCCAAGCCAAGAGTCCAGTGTTGCTCAACTGAGAAGGTAAGTCCGAATTGTGGGCTGGGGTCAGAACATAGAAAAGCAATGGAGGAACTTAAGACATTTCTAAACATCAAGCCATAATAGTATTCTGTAAAACAAAACTCCCAGAAACACACCTTATCTTTGCAATATTGTTAATAAACAGCGGGCAATCAAGAGGAATAGGGAGACATTTTTCAGCTTCCATAGAGACCCAGCAAGAGTCCAACCTATTTGTATACTAGCTGATCATGTGCTTAATAATACAGCTGCACACAGACACTGCCCTCTCATTAATCTGGAAAATGTAAATCTTGGCCTTCTGTTATTCTATACAGGTTTTGACAGAATTCTGTCTAAATCCTTGAAGAAAATAGTGAGTAAATGGAAAGAGGCTGAGTGAAATGAGCAGAGTAAATTATGGGAGGATATTCATTCTTGTTACTTTTACCCAACCAAAAAGGGAAATATGGAGAAAATCCCATAATTTAAGAAAATACTATTAATTAAGGAAAGATTATTGTTGTCAAGACATTTATTAAGGTTGGAAATGATATGAATACCTAAGTGTCTAAAACTCTCTACAGCTAGTTAAACAAGCTAATGATTTGTAGCCAGAAAATGTACTGTATTGTAAAATACAGTTCACTGCAGTCGGAATAGATTTTTCTGGACAGGCCATGTACAGCAAGACATTGTCCATGCAGAATGAGATTCGATGATCCACCCCTCCTGCTCTAATGCCTGAGATGTCCTGGCAGCATCTAATTGTTTCTGTCAGCGATTCAATCACTATGGAAAAAAGCAATGGCAAGAGAGGGCAGCCTTGTCTTGTTCCCTGACCTATCTGGAACATTTTTACCATTTGTATTGGTAGTAGTATATGGATCTGCATGTAGAGGTTTAACTAAATGACTAAATGTTCAATTAAAAATTTAACTTTTTAAGAATGTGTTGAGAGAAAGAATAAAGGCAGGGTCCTTACCTTCTCTAAAGAAGTCAATAATATTTAACAGTCTACTTATATTATCAGAACCAAGTTGTGTCTTAATGAATCTGGGTTAATGAGATTAGGCAAAATAACCTCTGATAGTCATGCTGGAGTTTTGGCAAAGAGTTTACAATCTGTCAATCTGCGATAATAACCAACATCACTATAAATGAAAGTTCAGGACAAAGTGCTCTAAATTCAGCAGGGTAGTCATCGAGTCTGGATGCTTCCTGTAAGGGCTCTGACTGGATAGCATCAGTGTCTTAGTTTCAAAACTCTTACATCTAAATGGATGAACCTTACTCTGTTGACTGCTTTTGAACGTTTAAGCCTGTCCACTCACTTTGGCAGGCAGCATTTTAAGGCAACTGATTTGCTCCTTTGTTGAACTTCATGCCATATACAGAAGACATTTGTAAAACTGTAGTGCAGCGTGTTCAAAAGTACCCTCTGGTGGCAGCTATGACAGGAATGTGAATGTAGATGATGGTTTTGTCTTAAGACACATTTTTGTGCTTTAGCAAAGTCTTACTCACAGCAAAATTGGCAGTAGCATTTACAGTGTTCAGATCTATATTGATTCAGCATTGTAGGGAATTTGACATACAAGTTAATTAAATACGGTGCTGATTTCTCAGACATGGATTAAGCCTAGTCCTGGACTAAAGTGCAGTGCTAGTAGTGAATCACTACATAAAATTCAGTTTTTGAAGGCTTTGATTCAACTTATGTCAGAAAACTGACCCTAAAAGTTATTTCATACAGGTGTTAATTTAGCTCTGTAAGAGTTACAGAGGAATTTGTCAAAAGGTCTGTGTTATTTCAATACTGAGATGTACACAAAGTCACTGAGAGTGATTTGATGTGAAATGGATAACTGTAGAGAAACTTACTGGCTTGGATTTCTCTGTGGTGATGGTGATAGAAATGAGGGGTCATAATGTCTACAACACAAACACAGTCATTTTTGTTTACTATCCAAAACCACCACTGAAGTGAAACTACAAGCGTCTTTAGGTTTTTAGGTGTAATGTTGATGATGGTAAAATATGAATGAATGGATTTAAAAATATGTTTTAGACCAAAACTTTTTCTTAAAACTATCGTAAAACAATGTCTCAGGCATTAGAAAACATATTTATTACCATTTCACGTAATAATTGTCTCACAATAACTCTTCACACATCTGCAAACAATTCTGACTCAGTAGAAAGGAGTATAACAAATCAATACACCCTAATGACTTTGTCTATATTGTAATAGCTACATCATGCTGAAAACAAGAAACAGAGAAATAATCAATTTAATACAACAACAAACAGCTACAGCAGGATTCTTCATTTGTGTCCAGTGTCCAGCACAGGTTTGAGAATTTCAGCTCATCTGTTTATTGCCAGGGCTAGAGGGCATGTTTGAGCCAGGAAATCACCAAACTGTGCTGGACACCAGCCCTCCCAGAATTTCAGAACACTACTATAGGTGTTCATTCAATACTCTATATGTAAATTTCACATATGAGTTAATTAAATAATATGAGCTGGTAATCCTGGACAGGGATTAAGCCTAGTCCTGGACTCCACAGCATTCAGAATGAAGATTCTCAACTGGAAGGAAAATGTATACCATGAAAATGTAATTGAACACAGTAGGTGCTGTAGGTATACTGTGTGGTGACTGAACATGTAAACAGCTGAAAAAAATCCTACTGAACTAGATTCAGTATTGCCTGAGAAACCAACAGATTCCTTCCAATTGAGTATCTTCATTCTGAATGCTGCGAAGTCCAGGACTAGGCTTAATCCCTGTCCAGGATTATTTATTAAGTCATATATATGTGTGTGTGTGTGTGTGTGTGTGTATACATGCTTGTCTACATCAGAATCTCAGTCCTATCAGCTGCCTCCTCATGAAAGTGACCTGCAGTTTTGTAAACGCCTGTCCAAATCACGCGCGTCACGCAGTAACGCACCCACTCCGCCTCTCCCCGCGCAGAACACCAGCGAGCTCGCGTGCAACGCTCACGCACAAGCACAGACGCGCGAGCGTTATCATTCCTGCTCTATCTCTGTGGAGTCCGTGGTCGCTCGCAGGACGTCACACAGCCGCAGGCAGAGCGTGCAGCTGCAAACGGCAGGGAGCGTTTATGGGCTGTTAAAGGGAGGGGACTGCCCCCCCGGACCGGCGCGGTGACGGGGGCACTTCTACAGCCGAGGCTCGCGCCGAGCTCTTTTTCTCGCACACTGACCAGAGACGGACGCTCTTAATCGTGGAGAGAGTGCGCGCTTGCCGTGCGCGCGTGGACACAGACTTTCGCCGTCCCGGACACGGACACTTCAGCTGGACGCGTGAACTGGATAGCATCGAGAAAAACCTCTCTCTCTCTCTTTGGTTTCTGCACCAAATCTCTCTCGTGTTTTCCAGCCTCAGCTGCGCGAAAGCGGTGAGTGATGGAGTGATGGAGTGAAGGACTGAAGGACTGTCAAAGAGGGTTTAACCAACTCTACGGATCTTCTCACAGGTGAGTATGACAATCAAATACATCTCACATTTGTGCATGACCGTGACTTCCACTTGCAGCTCGTGGCGACCGACTTGAATGCACAATATGTTGCACTGTCCATGAAGCAGTGGAGCCGAAGCAACGCGCCGCTCACGACAGCGCAAAAACATGCGGTGCACAACACATGAATCAGTGCACTGCATATGAAATAGTGCACTGTATACGAAAGACTCCATCTGAACAGCCCCGCGAGCTCCACTCGCTCTCAGCTTGGCTCTCTCCCGCGTGCGCGTGCTGCAGAATCGGGGAGGGCAGTTTATTTATTAATATTTCAGCACATGTGGGCTGCATGATTACCCCACGGTTCCAAAAGCAACGCTCCTCTGAGCGGGGTTTATGGACTGTAATGGTAGCGCGGGCTGAAGGGGCACGCGCTCCACTCTGACGTTGGAGTTCTAGTACAGTTGATGTGCTCGAGCCAAAAACCTGCTCTTAGCGTGCAGCGTGGGGTGCATGAAACACATGGAAACAGTGCGCAACAGCGCGTGAGGAGTTCAACCCCTCACTTTCCAGCTCAGTTATTCACCTCATTATACAGTAACCACCACGCATTATCCAATAACAGCTGTGGGACTGACATGAAAATGATGTAATGTTGATAATAAAGAGGGCGGAATGGATTAACCATGCATGGAAACGTGAGCTCTCGTATTAAGACACATGGCTGTGCGTAATGTTGATTAACCTACTTTCCACGCTTATTATTCAAATCTTCACTTTATTATTCCGTAACTACTACAAACTAGCCATGTTACCCTAATTAACTGATATGGAAATGAAGCAGTGTTGTTGGTGAAGGGAGCTGAAGGGGTTAAACGCTCTCGCACCCATGCGTAAAAACGCATTAGCTCCGTTTGCTCTGTTTGCTGTTTGTCACATTGTTTTTCTGCTTTCTGCCTCTTTGCCAGCGCCCTCCACCGCCCCCCCCCCACCCCCCCTCCGGGAGCGCCCCCAGGTGTAGGATGTAGCGATGATCCCCGTGCAGCGCGTGCAGGCTCAGGCGCAGGTGTGGCCCGGTGAGCCCCCGCCGCTACTGTGGATGCTTCCGGGTCTCTGCCCTCTCGCCTCCGCCGCCCCGCCTCCTCCGATCCTCGTGGCCTCTCGCGCGCCCCCGCTGCTGCGCGCCGTCTCGCGCTGGCAGCTGTCCTCCAACTCCTGCGAGCCCTTCCTGCCGCTGGTGCGCGCGGCCGAGCCAGTGGTCACACCATTCCCGCTGGCCAGCGTTCAGGTAACTGTGCACGCTCTTGCAAAGCATGGCACTCGCATACACTCAGACTCTAGCACCACATTTGCATATGTTCAGTTTGTGTAACCGCAAAAAGTATCTGCATAATTGCAACAAAAGTATTTGCATATGTTCAGTTTGTATGATTGCAAAAGTATTTGCATAATTGCAAAAAGAAATTTGCATATGTTCAGTTGGTATAAATGCGAGAGGCATTTGCATAAGTGCAAAAATGCATTTACATATGTTCTGTTTACATATGTTTGTTGCTGTAAATAGCATTTGCATATGCTGAGCTTGTATAGTTGCAAAAAATGTATTTGCACATGTTCAGCTTATATAATTGCGAAAAGAGTTTGTATAATTGCAAAATTTCTGTTTCTGCACTTGCAAAACAGAAAAATGGCACTTTTACGTGTTTAGTTGGTGTAAATCTTCCATGTTGCTTTTGATTTGCAGAGTCAGTTAATGGGAAGCTCCCTGTTAGAGCACTTTCTCAAATTCACAGAAATCACAGCTGACATGAACATTTCTTCTGATCTTCACCATTCAAGGGCTGTGCGTTATGGGGGTGGGGGGAGGAGAGGGGAGTGCGTTTGACAAACCTCAGATTAGGCCTCATTAAACCTCATTAAACCTCACATTTTGCCTTGTCATGTTTCACAGTCTCGGCAACTCTTTGCGAGTCAGTCCGTAGCAGACTCATTCCGTTAGAGCATGCCATGGAGGGTAATGGGCTGACCTTGGGTCAGCATTAGCATATTGGCCATTACGCTGAAGGGTATGAATGAGGTTAGCTGAGCTGAGTGTGATGAGTGAAGAAAGTAGAGACATTATTCCTCTGTGCATTTCTTCTTTCTGACCACTAGAGGTGCTGTTTTGTGATGGGTCAGTGCAGGGCACCTCTGGCACGCTAACACAGCATGACATTTACTCTGTGTGGAAGAATGAGGGTGGCTGATAGGTGGCTCTTTATAACAGTTGCATTCAGAGGAGTGTGTCTCACACATTCTGCCAAAGTGGGATGAGATAGTGAAGTGTGTGTGTGTGTGGGAAAGAGAGAGAGAGAGAGAGAGAGAGAGAGAGAGAAAGAGTGAGTCAAAAAATATACAGTGGATTTCTGAATTTATGGAAGATTTTTAAAATCTTTTAATGTGTTATAGAAGTAGGATTTCTTAAAATAGTGAGTATATCTAATTTTTTCCCTGCTTAACTTTAATCTTTATGTTGTATTTTTATAATTTGTCATTAAATTTGAATTGCTATGCTGTATTATCATCTAATTTTTTACATTACTGTGCAAAAGCCAGAGACCACCGTCCATTTATATAATATACCCTCAAAATGGATATTAAGTATAAAAAACATATATTTAACAGACATTACACAGCTAAATGTTCAACAACTAACTTCAACAACTAAATATATCAGGATTCTCAGTATGTATGTCCAACCTTCACTTTCATTACAATTCCATTCTTAACGGAACACTTGCTTTCAGTTTTACAAAGAAATCTGAAGGGATTTTTTTCATGCCTCCAAAGTTCGATCTTAGATGTTGGTTGAATTTTGTTTCTCACAATCCAAGTGATCCTAAACACATTCAGTGATGTTGAGGTCTGGACTTCTTAACAGCTACACATCCCTTCAGAGCCATAACATTGGGGGTCTGCCGGGTCTTGCATACTTGTTAAAGAGTCCTATTTTCTCTAAAGTGTTTAGTCATTTTTGAACTGCAGTTTTGGAAACTCCAGGTTTTTAACTTATTTTCCATTTACTTTCTCTTTCCTCATGCAAGTAGACTCATTTATAGTTAATCTCCTCAGAAATATCTCCTGAAAAAATAATAACCTCTAATTCTACGTAATAGCCATTTTGACTGGAAATTAAATAAGGGTTGAAGGGTGGTCTTGGCTTGAACGTGAGATTTTAGGAAAAAAACCCTTTGGTAACACTTTATTTGGATAGTTCACTTTAGATGCTTTGTAGATACTTAATTTACTTTCAAGTTACATTCAACGTAATATCTACTAAACTGACCATAATGTTCCTAACCCAAACCTTAACCTCAACCCAAAATCTAAACCCAACCCTCACCCTAGTCCTAGCCCTGACCCTAGTACAAATCCTAACCCCAACCCCACCACTGTTTAAAATCAACTGAGTTTCAACAGATAGTTTGTTAACAATTTGAACATCTGTAGATAATCTATAGGGGACTATAGTGGACTATCCAAATAAAGTTAGACCCAAAGTTTAACCGGCACAGAACCTTTACATTATGTGTCAGGATGTCTAAAGGTTCTTTACACTTGCATCTTATTTATAAAAATTATTCTTTAAAAAATCTATTGAAAAGCTATTTTGGGGCTGTGGCTCTCAAACCAGTCCACAATCTCCACATGGTCCACATTTTCGCTCTATCACAACTCCCAACACACCTGAAGCCAACAAGAGGACAGAATAACTGAGAAAACCAAAAGTGCTTCTTCTCTGGCCAGACGACCCTTCTGGCACCTTTATTCTTATTTCTTTTGCATTGTTTATTTACTGTAAAGCTGCCTTGTGATACCTCTAAAGTACAAAAGGTGCTGTATAAATAACGTTGAGTTGGGCTGAGAAAGAGGGAGGGAGTCAGAGGGAAAGGAATACAGTGTACGTAGCTTTTTAACACTGACTCTCTAGTGCACTGCAGAGAGCTCTGGGCTTTGACTGACTTGCGCTGTAGCGAGCAGATGACTCAGCTGGGGAGAGTGTGTCACAAAGTGGTGCTTCCAGCAGCTGAGTGTGGTTAATATTGAACATTGTGGAAATAGATCAGTGATAGTGCAGAGAAGTGACTCCACTCTACAGCACTAAGGATTCTCTTTACGCCTTCGCCGCGCTCCAGGCACATTACGGGAATATAACTGACGGCATGGTGGAAAGTTCATACAGTATGACAACACTGGGCTCGTCTATTAGCGCAGGCAAAAAAGGGGGCTACTAAGCGTGAGCCGAGAGACTTCAGCTAAGAGTCTGTTCTATTTTTATTATGTGCGCATGAATGGTTGTCAGAGGGGTCATATTGGATTAAATGGGCCTTGGCAATCCTGTGGTATTGACCTCTTTGCTGTTTGTAAAATTGATCAGGTCCCTTTGAAACCATAGAGTCTGTCAAAGTGTTATTTATGGAATGTTTATCATGTACAGAATGTTAACCTTTAGCCTTTAATGCTGTTTGATGTTTTATTCCTAGAGTGTTTGTTGAAGCAGTGAATGGAAAGGAAAGGAGCTTCTTAGGGAAGCCCTGAATTGGATACTTGACACAATACAGGATAAGCATGCACATGCACATGCTCATACTCATCCCTAACCCTTAGCTTCAGGCAGTACCAAGAGAATGGAAAGATTTACCTCCGTTTCCCTGCAGTGTTTTCCTAAACGTATTGGTATTCATGACTTGTGATTTTATCCCTGATTTTGTCAATTTGATTTGTTCTGTTTTGGCAGTTTTTCCCTTTCTTTCCGTGTTACAATAGGTATTGTCACAAAGCAGATTTGCAGAATCATAGGAGCAGGCCCCTAGTGAGAATGCCCCTGGCCCTTAGCTGTTGAAATAAGGAAGTGTTGCCTTTGGCTAAATAAAGATATTCCATCTTCACACATTTGCCTTGCACTCAGTCTAAAAATCCCTTAGGGTCTGGATTTTTTATTCACTCTCAGTCTGCCTATAGGTGCAAAGATAAGATTTTTCAGGGGAAAAAAAACATGAAGATTCTAATATATCACTTACATATCACTTAAATCATTTAGTGAGTGTCACTGACCATTATGTTTTTAACCATACACTTAAAATAAGGGTGCCTCAGAGTTCTTTGAGCGATGCCATAGAGGAACAACATTTTGTTCCCTAAGGCAGTGGTTCTCAAACCAATCCTCAGGGACTCCACAGTTTTGCTTGTTCTCAACACACAGGGATAGAGCAAAAATGTGGAGGTCCCTGAGGACCATTTAAACAACCACTGCCCTAAAGAATCACGATCATCCATTGAAAGTGTTTAGGGAAGAGAATCATGCAAAGAACCTCTTGTGGAACCTTTATTTTGAAGTGTGTACTCTGTGTTTCTGATGTGACTGTCTTTTCTAATGTTAAAGAAACAGACTGTGCTGTACACTGACATTGTACTGTCATTCATAAGCCAATTTTCCTTCCTACTACAACACCTTCATTTTGTGGTCTCAGTCATTGCATTTTTATTGTGCAAATGTTCACATTTTTATTGCATATTGATTGAACTCTCTGTCTTTGTGAGAGCAATCATGATGAAAAATGTGCAGAGCTCACTCTAATTCATATCAAAAGTACTTTATTTGGTTAAATCATATGCATATCTGATATATATATATATATATATATATATATATATATATATATATAATCAGGACAGCCTTGCATGTAAGCTGAAATGTTAATAAAGTACTCAACTTAAACTTTGTTCAACCAAATAAGCTTTCTATACTTGATTGAAGTGCGTTCTCATTCTTTTTGTCTTTGTCTGAGCACTTGCCAGAACTAATTCTCTGCATGTAAATTTGGCTACATTATGTATTTCTGTATTTTGGATCTCTATCCTGTAACTCATGAATGCTCTCTCTCCTCCCTCTCAGTGGGAGCTTCCTTCCAGGCCTCCGATGCTGAGTTTTCAGCCCTCTGCAGGAGTGGATCTGGTCCCAGTGTTTCCGCCCTTGTACCGCACCCTGCTGCCCCCACACTACGGCAAAGCCTGGGTGGAGAAACGTGTGCCGGACTACAAGGTGAAAGACTGTAGTGCATTTTACTGTGATTTTTCTATCATTAGTCCACTTATAACATTTGTATTATGTGCTAAAAAGAGTAGGTAAACAGGAATGAAACTGTCACTGGGGCAGTACCCCTCTTGTTGCTGGGGTGGGACCCTCAAGGGTACATCTCAGTACCTTTAGTCAGGGAACAGAATTGTATCATAATCCATTGAAATGATATTGTCTAAGTTGTATTGACTCCACACACCCCGTCTCGTCTCCAGGCTTTTTATTTTATTGTTCTGTTTTAAAACATTAGGTTATGAAAAGGTACATATATGTACTTTGCACCTGGGAAAAAATATATATATATATATTTAAGGTGCTCAATCGGACCTTGGAACCTTAGACTGTTGTACCTGTGAGGGAACACTTACATTGTTTGTACCTTGATGAATAAAAAAATGTACCTGCACAGAACCTTTATTTCTAACAGTGTATTTACTTTTACATGAGCTTTTTCCAACCTCTTATCCCTTAGAATTAAACAGGCTGTTTTTGTTACCTTTTCAACCAAATCATGCAAAAGACCTCTGTTCTGAATGGCTGCTCGGTATTGTGCCTAGTTAAAAAAGTAGTTCAGGGTTAGGAAACATGCATAATAAATTGTTAAGTGTGAGCTGAAATTTAAAAAATTACTCAGGCAGCCAGGAACTTCATAACGAACCACAGTTTTGTCTCCACTCCAGTAACTGTGCTAAAGAATGTCCACAGGAACAACACTCTGCATCACTTCAATGTGAACGGGCAACCTAACCTGCTGTAGACTGATAGGGCAGTCATCTATAGATTTGTTGATGATTAATTCAAACCAGCCTGTGTCCTTAGATAGACTGTATGGACCGATATGTTTCAAAACTTTAATAACATTCACACGGTACATTAAACTCTTCTTTAAAAAAAAAAGAAAAAATTATTTTCCTCCTGGTATAAACCTTTCGAAGTGCTTTCTGTAAGAGCACAGGAGCTCTCCATTAAACTCTAAGGGGTTATGACACTTTTCTAATGGCACTTTATTATAGTATTTTGGCTTAATTGTAGCTTTGTGCAAAACAATGAATGTTTAGGTAATGGACTATTTTCCAGTGCTGAAGGTTAATTAAAACAGTATTGCAGCAAATTAACACTTTTCCTTGCAGCACAACTCTAGTGAGAATTTAATGCTATTTTGGATGCCCATTACACCCACTATGCAGAAGCAAACAGCACAACGTTGCAAAGTGTTTTAAAAGTGAGCTTTAGCGTTTCATTCTCTTGATTATAGGTTTATCTTAATAACAGTCTGGCTCTGGAGACCACCTGGATCAGCCCGGAGGAAGTGGGCATTTTCCAGCGGCAGGAAAAGCCAATGCTGATGACGAATCAAGTGGCAATGAGCATATCCAGGCCGACTGCCGCCTCCAGGAATTTCCACACTCTTCTTTTGACGCCCAGGCGTGTTTCAGGTAGGAGGGAGAATTTTCTAATCCTCTATTCTCTTGGCCTGGCCACTGATGGCCTGCTGTCAACCCAGCCTTTTTTATCGAGGGGTTTTATCGCTCCCTGCTTCTATTCCAGGCCGTTTTAACAAGTTTCTGTTCTCCTGGGTTTAATCCCCTCTCTTTTTAACTGCATGTAAAGCTATCGGGAGGCTGTCAACTTTCGTTTTACGGTGCCCCTAAAAAACATTAGGGCTGCCATGCTGTCTGCATGTTAATGTGTGGGAGGGGAGGCTGTGTGATTGGTGCTTGTGAAATCGAACTGAAATTGGCCACATTTCTGCATCTCTCCAGGCATAAATTCATCTCTGCAGCTACAGTATGTGACAGTGTAATGCACCCACATACTGTATACTGATTTTACACAAGACATGAGAGGAAGACAAATGAGTAAGAAATCATTAACCCCTTAAACTACAAGGGCAAACACTTGAATTCCTCTCATAACTACATAACTTATGTAGTAGTTTCATAATAGGTACTTGTGTGCATGGGTAAATTGACAATTTGATCATTGTGATTGCAGTAATGTCAAGCACGTGGAAGCAGTAATTGGCAACTTTGCTGCTTAAGTCTTTAAGACCAATGCAAGAATGTGGTTATTTCTGCCATTTAATCTGCTGTTCTCCGCAGATATTGCAATACTGCAGTGCTGCTGTTGCATTTCTTAGATATGTAAAGAACAGGAACATTCATACATTTGTATTTAGTTCATCTCAAAAACTACACTTTTAAATGAGCAAACACATTAATAATATGCCACATATCAATTACATTTTGTTGTTACTCTGGTTAAACACAACAATAGTAATATTCACCAATCCTAAATGTGCTCTGAATAAGCTTGTACACTCTCAGAAATATATTTCAGCAATAAAGAAAGCCTTGTGCATCTTTTAGACAGTGATAGAAAAGTACCCAGAAAGTGCTGATTGCACATGCTGATATGTTTCCTTATGGCCACGTTTATGTGCACATGCTGTATCTCCTCCAGCGGCAGATTGAAATGAGTTAAAGGGGCCAAACACAATTTCTCTGAATGGATTGCTGGCAAGATCCTTGGCTCTATATGGTTAATTGCGCACGTTTAATGGTATGAACAATCCTCCACAACCAACCATCACTGGAGCATTAGCCAAAAGTACCAAGTACAAGTGAGAGTTTGAGATGGAAGTCATTAATTGAAAAGGAAATTGCCAGTTTTCACACAGTGGAAAAGGTTCTTTCAAAGATCCATGTTTGATTTTCAGTGGCCATGGTAGGAAACTTAAAGTGATGATGTGTGGCTACAGTATAAAATGAGTACTTTAATTAGGCCTCATTGAGCCTACAGCTAATGTGAATATCCTTTTTGCCCCTGTGAATGATAATATAGTCTAACAGGATATTTAATAAAGACCTATCTGACAGAAACCTCACTAAGGCCCTGTCTACACCTGTTTGGATTTTTGAAGACTTACTTTTTTTCTACATTTTCGCCTTTCATCCAAACCATTTTTGTGAAAAAAATCATTAAAGTTGAAAGAGGTTATTGAGAGAGCTCTCAAGGATGGATGTTACTGTTTTCATGTATTGAACATGCAGAGCTCTGTCTGGAACACAGCTGATGACTGAGTTGTTTCTATGTGCTTGGCAATTTGTGGGAGATTTAGGCATGATAACATGTTTATAACTGACCTTAGCTTTACCTTTCATCCAGACTATTGGGGCGCTTGTGGTAATGTACTCAACTGTATCAACTAGATTGCAATTCTTAAAAATTCTTCAGTGATTCTAAAGATAAGTGACTTGATGATCGTAAAGCAAAGTCCTTCAGGTTTTATTAGGATTGTGAGGACATTTCATAGACAATGGTGTAGCCAAGGCAAAAAACAAAGCCCAAAATAAATAAATAAATAAATAAATTACAGTAGGCTTTCATTTGTTGTTTAAACTTTTATTTTCTGTCAGAAATCAAGCTTTGATAACACAAAATGCTGTTGGTGTGGACAAAAAATTATTTTCGAAACTGGAAATCTTAGGCCTCATCAACACATACTGGCATATTTTTAAAAATATCCCAGTATGTGTTGATGAGGCCTAAGAATTTCATTCAACCCAATAGTAGTGTTGGAGTTGCGAGTAAATTATTACCATCAATTAGGGTTAGAAATTATCATTATTAATCATAATTCTCACAAGTGGGACACCAGTCCAACAGGACAAAATAGTCTCCGAATTAGGTATGTTTGACAGTTAACCCAGTGGAGATAACGCAGTTGATAACTATATGAAAAGTATTAATGTTCTCAATTTCTGAAGGAAACATGGTTACTCAAACATGGTGTAATTATTTCTTAGCTGTTAGAACATCTGTGATATGAGACACACACACACACACACATAAGTAAAACAATCACAAAGTTTAATCATAAAGCACTTGGTAAAACGAGTAATTTCGAATATATGTAGAAAAAGAAACAGATAATAGAATACAAAGTAAGATGAACTTACTGAAACTAAGACCTAGGGCTGACCAACAGCATGTGTCTTTGATCTGTTTCGTTTGGGTATTGTGGAAAAATAAACAGTGCACCATTTAAGATCCATACGTTTGCATGCATTGTCTCATCATGTGACAAGAGGAATTCAGAGTGGGATCTGTCAAAGGGGTGGGAGCCAGAAGCACCAGCTCAGAGCTTGATTACTGAAAATTTGAGGTTAAAGTAAAGGTTGGGATTAAGGTTTGAGAAAATTTAAGTGAATTCACTACATATTTATTTGCATGTAAATTAAAGACAGTGTAAGCATCTACAAAGCATCTGTTGTGGGCCAGCTGAATAATAAACCAGCACTTTAAGGGGTTAACTTGCACAAGGGACAGAAGACCTGCTGTGTTGCAATAGTCTGTGAAAAGTGTCTCTTCATAGCACTTGGAGAACTTCCAAAAATTGAGTTTCTATACTCTGACAAAGACACAGAAAATAGACTTGGGTTAGAGGCACACACCTGCGTAGTTTAGATGCCTATAATAGAGCACAGTCCTGCAGCAGGCACCTGTGTGTACTGCTCTCTGTCCCCCTGTAGACTTGCATTCTCAGCTGGACTGAGATGGATTAGTTTGCAGGTCCACTTGTGTGATGCTGAAGGATTAGTCCTTGAGAGATGAAAAGTTCACCCCGTGGAGGATTTTGTCTTCCTGTGAAAAAGACTGGGAAATACGGAAGGCTTAAAACACAAGCAGGGACGTGACTATGGTTTTGATGTGTTTTGTATGTACATACGGCTGCTTATTTCAGCTGGATCGCACACCAAGGTGCTTTGCAAAAGGTTAAAAGAGATTTTACTTAGTATAATGTAAACAGATGATGGTCCAGTCCATGCATAACTGGCCAGTGGTATGTTTTTTGTTGTTCTGGCTCTGCACTCCAGGACATTGAATCTGAAATGAAACCATAAACAGTTGGACAGTTGGTTTGCTTACTTGTTTCTTTGCCAGTTGTATGGCATAGCATGATCATGTGGTGCACCAGAATTCTAACAAACACTCTAAAGCTGTGGCATTTGCATCTTGAAGCTGTCACATTTTGATCTGTTGTAGGACCAAATAATTGTTAATATCAGTAAAGCAGGTCATTGTCAAAATCAGTTGTTCAGTCGTCACCCGAGTGATGCAGCTGTCTAACCATTGAGCCTATCAAAAGGTTGCGAGTTCAATCCCAGGTGATGCCACAGCCCATTATTGCCAGGAGTCCAAGAGACCATTTTTGGCCTCACTCTGTCTGAGTGAGTAGGGTGGCTCTTCCTCTCTCCCCATCACTCAGCACAATGCTACCCAACACAGGGATCTGTTAGCACTGTCCTCCAAGCATGTTGATCCTGATGTTGACGTTGCAGTTTCAAGTTTCGGTGGTTGGTTAAAGGTATTTTTAAGCACATTCTTGCTTTCACCCTGCCAGCTCAGTAGCATTGTGTGATAGAGGGAGATCTAGATAGCAGGTGGGAGTTGATGATGACTAAATCAGAGAGAAAAACAGGGTACAAATCAATGAATAATAGGTTTGATATGAATTAAAATATAGCAAAAACCTTCACGAATTAATGATTACCGATGCAGAAAACTGATGAACAAATCAAAAATACTCTGCAGCATGGAAACATAAATGTGTCAAATACATAAAAGTACAACACGACCTCATGGGATTCACCACAAGAGGCAGATCACAGACTAAAGTGCATAAAACGCCTGAAAAAGTCTGGCACAAACTGTTGTAGACAGATGCAATGAAGATGAACCTGTAGCAGAGTGATAAAATGAGGAAAGTGCGGAGATAACACAAAAAGAACTGCTTATAATCCAAAGCACATCACCTCATCTGTGAAAGATGTTGGCATGGGCATGTATGGGTGCCAGTGGAAATGGCATTTATGATGATTTATTGATGATGTGGCTGCTGTTGGCAGCAGCGGCCTGAATTCTGCAGTAAACAGAAGCTTCTTAGCTCTAGCCTGCTCAGATTCAACCAAATGCATCAAAAATCAATATTTGGTGTCTCACCTTGCAGCAATGAACAACATCATGCTACTTTTCAGGAGTGTGGAATATTCTTGCCTGGTCAAGTCGTCCTGACCCTTATTTCACTTTTTGAAGACAAGACTAAAGGCAAAAAGGCCCTAGAACAAGCAGGAATTGAAAATGACTGCATTAGAGGCCTGATGCAGCACCACCAGGTTAGATACTAAGCATCTGCTCTTGTCTTTAGGCTGTCATTGATTACAGAGGATTAGAGCCAAACCCTAAACATACTAAATGTTTTATTGTTTAGGGGCTGAACAGTTTTCTTAGTCTAGGTTTAATCTGGGTCTAAAAACTGTCACTATGTTAAATTGTGTAATGGACTGGGTGGATGTATAAAGGACTGTAATTCCTTTATACATCCTATGACATAGTATACTACGTATACTAAATGTACACTGTAGGGGAGAAT